TATTGTTGATTGATGTAAATTGATTTTGTTTTCGGATTGTATTATTCAGTTTTTGTTGTAATATAGATTTGATTTAGTGCAGATTTTAGTTTTATGTAATATTTGATTGAGTTTCAATATTCTGGGATTGGATTTTGATTTGTAATTTCCGATTTGACCATGTAATAGATATTTTAAATTGATTTTCTTGTAATATATTAGATTTGGTTTGATATATTTATCTGGATTTGATTTATACAATACTGGTTCTTAAGCAAACAAGCATAATCTTTGGATGCGATTGAAACAGTAGATGTTTATCAGCATCTGGGCCTGCGCGTTACCGTATCGGGCTTGCACTTAGTTAATTATTTCTTTTGTCCAGCAGAATTATATTTGTTACAGCAAAAAACGTTTTTAACATCACTAGGACCAAATGGCCTTTCCGTAACCCGATATTACTTTAACCAAACTTTTGATAAATACAATTAACATAATGTTGTTTAATAATAAAAGTGAAATATTATTAATAAAAATCTAACAGTAATAACAACACTTTTCTTATATATTCTTTTTATTAAAATAAAAACAATAGTTTTAATAATTTCTTAAAACAACAAAGCAGCAAATGGGCTGTTAGAAACTGTTTAATGGGCCAGTAATCTATAACCATACCTCACTCTTTGTTATTTGGACAACGCAAACGGAAATGGACCAACTGAAATATAATGGGCTCGCATATTGAATTCCCACCTCCCTTTTTACTTAACAACAATAATACTTAAATAGGTTTTATTATAAGAATTTAATTATTGTTATTGAAATAGTTTTCCACATTCGAATCGCATGGGCCATTGGCCAACATGCTTCATAAACGGCCCTACGGATATATGGGCCTTTTTGATTTAGAAAGCCTCACTCTCCTTAATTAAAATGCACCCCCCGGTTATCTTGGATTTAAGAATGGACCATCAGATATTGCTGAACCATCCCTAATTAAAGCATTCCTTGTATTTTTAATCTTGAAAATATAATTGTCGAGGTAGGGAAAATTTAGGGTACGACATGGACGTTTTTTGCAAACAAAACAGAGAAAGTAAAACAATTTTGAATTTTGAAGTCTAATTGCATTGATTCTGAAAGTTTTCCTATAAGCGGGCAGTTTTATACAAAGAGACAGAAATCTTAGTAAGAGGAAATCATCGTAATAATAATGAAAAACAAGGAAAAACAGCTATGTGGAAACGATCCCATCAAGTTTCAACTCTGCTATTTCCCCTATGTCTTCAAGCATCTCATCACTTGCTGTTGGAAGAAGATGATTGAATTGTTCTGTACCGTTTGAACTTGACGCTAGTAATGAAGCTGGCTGTAACTAGACGGGTGATTCAACAGGACATAGTCGTATGCTTTAATCCCTAATTTTTTCCTGGACCGCCCTTTCGGGTTTTCAATCCATCAAGATATCCTTTTTTTCCCAAGCCGCCTTTTCAGGTTTTCGACTTGCCGGATGTACAATTTTTTTTATATATCCCTAATTTTTTCTCAAACACTCTTGGTTCGCCGGGATTCCCTTGCTTTTTCCTAGGCCTGTCAACTTAACGAGTCTCTTTTATGCTTAGTATTTTTTGACTATGTCTGCATTCACAGGGTGTGGAAAATATTCACCGTACATGGTAGTAAGTATCATAACACCACCAGAAAATATCTTTTTGATCATAAATGACCCTTCGTATGTGGGAGTCCATTTTCCCTTTACCTTGTGATATGATAATGCACTTTATTACCAAATCACCATCCTGGTATACCTGATGTTTGATTTCCTATTGAAGGCTTTGATCATGCGTTTATGATACATATGACCATGACAAACAGTTGCAAGCCTTTTTCATCGGTCAAATTTATTTGGTCTAGTTGAGTTTGAGTCCATTCGTCTTTATCTAAACCCGTGTCTTTCATAATCCTTAGGGAAGGAATCTGGACTTTAACAAGTAAGACAACCTTCATACCGTAGACTAGAGAGAACGAGGTTGCTCCAGTTGATGTACATACTGAAGTGCGATAACCATGAAGAGAAAATGGTAACATCTCATGCCTATCTTTGTATGTCACTGTCATCTTTTGCAAGACATTCTTGATATTCTTGTTGGAGGCTTCCACTGCGCCATTCATCTTTGGTCGGTACGGTGAAGAATTGTGATGCTTAATCCTGAGCTACGTGCAGAGTTCCATGATCATAGTATTGTTAAGATTGGTACCATTATCCGTGATGATCCTTCCAGGGATGCCATACTGACAGATAAGGTTGCATTTAATAAACCGATCCATAACATTCTTGGTAGCGGAAGCAAACGAGACTGCTTCAACCCACTTCGTAAAGTAATCATACCACAACGATTGAAAAATATAAACCACAATGCCTGATCAACCGTTGTGAGGTAAGGGATGGTTGTATGTTTGTCGCTTTCCACCATGGTCGCGAGACTGTGATAATAAGGCATAATTCCGCATGAAGGGAAAGGCAAACATCGAGAAAACATGAGAAGGGAAAAGTCACGTTCTTGCGACTGAGAGATCAGGTAAGAGTCTGTTACGTGAGGGGAAGGTATTAGCACCCCCCCACGCCCATAATACTCTATGGTATCCACTCTCGTTATCTATCTTATGGGTGTGTTTAGTCTATGCTTACTACTGAGGAAGAATGCATGCAAAAGAAAGGAGAAAATAATGTAGGAAAAATAAAGTTGTGCTCGCTCGGGACCTACCCCAATGCCTACGTATATTTTTTGAGGAATCAGAGTTACCGTAGTTCGACTCACATGTTTTTGTTTGTTTATTTTTTTTATGAACAATTCTAATTCCGCCTTCTGCCGCAGCTCGACCTTTGAAGACTCACGCGTTGGCTTAGAAGTAAATTAGCATGTCCTTACTTGAAAATGGTTTTCAGTTACGCCCTCAAGGAAAGATGACACATTTGATTTGTTTGTGTTTTGTTACCTTGAAAAAGGATTTAATTACGATCAACATGTTTTATGATTTGCCAAGAAAAAGAAAGTTTTAGTTTTAAATGCATATGCAAAAACGGGAAGAAAAGAGTCTACGTGAGACTAGCCTATTTCTAATCCTAATGTTATCATACAATGGTAGTCCTAAGGTTTAGATTAACAAAAGGGGAACATCTACCTAATGTTAGCATGTGTGACCTGCAACCTAAGGTCTAACTTGCATCTGAAAGGAACAAGCACATCCTAAGGGAACATGGTATAGAAAGCGAGTAAGCAAATAAGCTCGAAAGAGAACACACATGAAAGGGTAAAGAAAAGAAGCTAAATACTTTAGTCAAGGGGAGCGGATCACCCAAGACAAACAAGCGAGAATGAAATGTAAAAGAAGAGAAATGATTTAGATAAGGGGAGCGAATCACCCGAAGCAAACAAGCGGGAATAGGATTACCCAAAGCGACTGAGCACCTAACCAAGATATATAAGATCAAGATAGGAGATATAAGGAAATATGAACAATCACAGAGTGTCAGCATCGGCCAATGCGAACTCCTGACAAAGTGTAAGGGTTCGATTGGGAAAACCTTTCCCCCTTGACGACTCAATAACAAGAGTAGGCACAACTCCGAAGCATTGTGGTGCGTCACGAGCTAAGGATGATACTAACGAAATTGCGGGGGTATATTGCTAACCCTTTATGCTCGCCTCCTTTTGAGGACTTATAATCTGTAATATATGCGGGTATAAATGTAAACACGCCTGCAAAATACCTACTTCAAAGGTAGGGTTTTAAACAAACACAAATAGCATACAGAAAGCAGTGTCTGCTATAAGACTTTAAACATCAACTTCAAGCGCACGCTCTTTATTTCCTACTTCTCATGATATCTAGAAAGTGGTAAATAAATATGATAAAATGCGGAAATGAGGAATAAAATGAATTTGCGATGATACCTAACAGAGAAGGCCCGTTGCCTCTTCATAACCATGCAAGCGATAAGAAAACTCTACTAAAAAGCCTCCTCGGATTCCCTTGATGAAAATTATGCTCTTAGCTAGCTTTAGAACTTCATGAAGTCTCCACCTAAATCTCTTTTATTTACCAATATCACAAAAATTCAATCACCAAAATTAATCGCAAGTGCAATTGAAACAAGTATTGAAAATAAAATTCCAGGAGGTGCAAGCTAGATTCAGAGTGTGCCGGAGTAAACTGGTGTTAAGCCTGACGCTCTAGGCCCTATGGAAAATTTCTTTTGTAAAGAAATCTAGTTACCATAAACTCAGGCCCAAGATGTATGTATGATCCGGTCCACCAAATCAACATCATCAGTGATATCCACTCAATTTCTATCTATTATTGCATTGAAAAATTAAACAAAAATAAAAAGAAAAAGGATAAGGTTTCATAAGATTGAGACGTTTCAGCTTCTACGTGAAATCCCATCTCTTCTCTCAAAATTTGCAGCACTGGGGATTCTTCTTTCTGCCATCTTCTTAATCGACATGGCTGACCTCCTCTCAACTCTATTCCGAGGTCCTCACCTCATCTTCTCTGACGGATCATCAACAGATTGCTGCAGTTAACTTCTCTCTTATTTCATGCGTTCTCTGCCCAGCCTTCGCGGATCTGCTATGTATCTTCAACGATCTTCTTCAACTTCGCTTCTTCGTGATGCTGCGATATATTTCCATGAATTATTAACTAACTTGAATGAAAAAGAATGCATCTGAATCAAGGAATGTCAGTGAGAGACGCTCCAACGAATCTTCCAACCGAAGGAGATGAATGGAACTCTAAATTCACGAACTCAATGGCTCAGCTACGCTCTAATCCTTGATTCTGGCTTCTTAGTTTTATCTTTGATTTTTTCTGTTTTCTTGTTTAGTCTTCTGATCGCATTATCATTTTTGTTACTATGATGCGTTGCAACACAAGTTGATGAGCGAAGGTCGTTACGATGTTGATTCACCGATGATTCAGATTGCAAACCGAAGGTTGAAGAATTGATGACGAAGTTACGTTGTTGCAGAGGTGATAAAGATGATGAAAGATTGTTGCGAGTTGTTGATGAAGATCTCGATGTGGTTCAGAGAGCGAGAGAGTTCTTTGAGAGGTCTTTTTTTGTGTGGTCCTTCTGAAAGTATAAGAATGGTGAAGATGAAGATGATAGAAGAATGGAGCTGAGAAAGGAGATGGTTTTTCTGCGGATTTCTAGTTGGATAGAAGAATGATGAGGTTTTTGTGATTTTCTCTGAAAGTGTTGAATGAATTGTCTCCATCCCTCTCTGTAACTCTGAATTTCTGTTATATAGATTGTTGAGGGTTGGTTAAAACAATTATAAAGTTTGTTAGAGGTTATGGAATTTTGTTTTCTGTTGAGGACTTATGTTAGTAGGTTGTTGAAATTCTATTAGAAGTAGAAATTAGTTATATGGTTTCTATTGCAAGTTAGTTAGCTGGTTTAAGGTAGTTGAAATTCTGTTAGTAGGTTTTCTGGTTTCCTGTTTTGCCGTTTTACTAATTTCTTCCTCTTGAATCGCTTTTTGATGCAAGAATCAATTTGCAGAGTTGTATCAGTTTTGAACATGGCTTGAAGTCGTAAAGCACGGATTTTGAATTGGTTTATGTTGGGGGATTGTTTACAGGGCTGCAGTGTCATGGTGATTTAGTTGATAGGTTAGTGGGTTTTATGTTTCTGATCAGAGCAACCTATTAGGTTTTAGTAAGCTGTACATGAAATGTTAATGAATGGCTTAATGTTTTGGTTAATTTTTCTTTTTGCATTGATTTTCTATGAACTGCTCGGATTGATGTAGGGTTGGTCTGTGAGCTAATGTGGGAACCATTGGTTTTATTTTAATGAAGTTCAAGCCATTAACTTGGAATTAAGAGGATTGCAACATGAAGGGCATGAAGTTGGAAGATTAGTCATGATGATGGAAGATTGGAGATTAGTGTTAAGGCATGAAAGTTTTGGAGGCACGAGGACACATTAGAGATTAGGCCTAGGATAGGTTTATCATGTAAATGACTTGATGTAATCTTCTTGATCTTTGTGATGTACGTGAAATGGTAATGTAAATGATGACCTTTGATGTATCGACATCCTCTTCAATCATTTCTCCTCTTTCAATTTAGAATACACATCCTCAAACCTCAAGAATTTTTACCTTTTGCTCTTGAATGAAGTGACTCATGTAATTTCTTGGAAACTTGAATGAAATAGTTTTATTAATTGCATTGAAGAGATTTATATTAATTTCTTGGAAACGTGAATGATATTTTTTTATAATATTCATTGTAACACCCCAATTCTACCCTAAGTAATTTACGGAAAATGAAAGTATAAAAATTTCCAAAATAATCAGGATGCTACACATTCAACAGAAACACATAAACATGTCATGTCTTTAGAATAGATACATAACACTTAAAGAAAACATAATGAACACAACTCATGAATAAAGTCTTCATAACATAAACCAACTTTGATTAATCACGCATCAGATTCATAATAATTCTCCATGAGACATAGCATCTTTTAAATCATAAAACAACATCAAAACGATGATTCCTCAAATAACAACATAAGGTTCGATAAACAAACAAAAAAATAAAACAAGCGTTCATTTTCCCCCGAGTGCTACGTATCAGAGCAAATGACACCAAACTCGAACTAACAACGCTAACGGCTACTCCTCTTGGTTACCTGCACGTTACCAATAAAGGGTAACATTCAAACAAAAGGGGTGAGATATCGAATACTATAATAGAACATATGATAAATAATATATCGAAATCAGCTTACATAAAATCACCACTTCATACCAAATCAACATATAGCAATACCATTCACCAACACCTCAATTCAACTTATAACATTACCGTGCGTAAACAACACTTTAAATAAGCAACAAATCAATGACTCCAAATGCGACTCAATTATGCAAATGCATGTGGTACCATTGGAGCAGAACTCCCAACTTAGAAAATACCAGTTTACCGAGGCATAAGGCATAAGCCCTCAATATAAAATCTTGCCGATAAAGGCTAACGTGGTGAGCATTCGCTCCAACTTAGAACATGCCAATCCAGGCCAACTTTAATGCTATGCTATGCTATGCGATGATATAAACAACCACAACTTGGCAACGCAACAACAACAACAACATAATAAAGGCCGACATAACAATAATTCACACCTTCAACATTGGCTAAAGGCCTATATCAAAGTTATTACCAATTAATCAAGGGTAATACACAACATTTATTCACCACAGATATATCGAAACAAAACGGCATTTCGGTCAGTTTGCAAATTACATCAATTACCAACATACCAAATTAATCGATTCATTTCCAAATTACTTGCCCACTTAATTAAATTAATCCCATTGTTAGTTATTTTCATCACTAATAAAATACTAATTCAACCATTTAAAATATATATAGTCCACTGCTATTTGTTCTCCCTAAAATTGCTAACTTATTATACAACCAATGTGTGTGCCATTCTTCCATATAAAACTAGCTTCTAGCAACTAAATTTAATTTACTGCTACTGAAAACAGTGACATTCATATATACTGCTACTAGCTATTACTGATTTTATTTGAGAATTATGCATCATAGTGTCATAGAAGGACAAGCTGAAAAACAGAGAAAACAGAGAAAACAAGTGCCCCTACCTCACAGTGCCAAAGTGGCACTTTCCCTCTCCACCTCCACCTAGTGCCGATCGGCACTTCTCCATTCTTCCAAGGTTTCCGAACGGCAACCCCCATAAACACAAGTGCCGAACGACACTTCCACTTCCAGTTTCGTTTTCATTTCTTCTTCTTATTTCCTATACTTAATTTCTATGTGTAGTTTCTATACTTATTTTCTATGGTAGTTTCCATACTGCTTCAGTAATTCTTCAGTCTCCTAATCTAAACTCAACCCAGACAATAACACAACAATCCACATATTTTCCTTGACAGTTCTATAACTAAAATAATATTAATCATTATCATCACAATAACACAAGCCAAGCACAAGTCAATAAAATAGTAAAAATTTCACATAAAAATTCCCACATACAAAATATCGTACACCCTATTATAGTATAAGAAACCCACCCTTACCTGGTTTAATTTTGAAAACAATCAAGGAAGCTTCAATGGAATTTCTGGAAACTAGCCCTAGCAGCAGCTTCCTCGTTCTTCTCCTCTTCTCACAAAACCCTATTCTCTTTTCTCTTCTTATTTTGTTTTTCCTGATAACACCTCTTTCTCTCTTTTATTCTATTTTCTAATAAAATATTATTATTAAATTCTTAGTAACTTAAATGGGCCTGAACACAACACCCCCTTATTACTTAGCGACACCACACTTAAGCCTAACATCAATTCTAAGCTTACTAGTAAAATGATACCTCAACTTATTTATACTTATATAAACCTGATTAAATTATTATTCCAACTTAATAAAATAATTATGACTTCAACGATAAATATTCGAATTAAAATAAAATAATCAAAACAATATTTAATTAAATCAATAATTAAATATCAGGGCGTTACAACTCTCCCCCACTTAGAATATTTCCGTCCTCGAAAATAAAAGTTTACCTGGTTCAAATAACTCGGGATAGGAGTCTCGCATCTTGCTCTCCAACTCCCAGGTCATACTCTCTCCAGCAGCTCCTAACCAGACAACTTTCACCAATGCAATCTCCTCCCCCCTTAGAATCTTCATCTCGCGATCCGTGACTCGCACAAGCATCGTCTCCACCGTGAGATTATCATGTGCTTGCACATCGTCCATCTGAATCACATGAGACGGATCGGGAATATACTTCCGAATTTGCAATACATGAAACACGTCATGCAAATTAGCAATGTTTGGCGGTAACGCCACTCGGTAAGCAACCTTCCCAACTCGATATGATATCTGATACAGACCAATAAAATGAGGAGTGAGCTTCTTAGACTTCAGAGCTCGTCTGTGATACGGTGGGAAGAACTGACTGTTTTTTGGAATGCTGGTTCGCGTTTTGCGTTTGTGTTCGCAAAATGTCGTGGTAAGCAAGAGTCGCCACCGACTTTTATTTTATCCAACAAGGAAAGGAAAAAAGCACAGAAAAATTCCTTTTTTGAGATATTTCTGAGTACGGGGGGTAGATTATAGAAAGGGAATGTATTAGCACCCTTTTTATCCGTAGTTATCTACGGGCTCTTAGGTACTTGCTCATTGTTTTCAAAATTGTTTTCTTTATGTTTGTGGGTTTTGAAAAGTTTTTTGTTTTAACTTCGATTTAACTCTTGCTTCTGTCTTCAAGAGTGTAATGAAGTGTTTTGAAAACTTTGTTTGTAAAAGTGTAAGTGTGAAAAAGTTTTGTTTTGATTGAGCAAGTATCTAAGAACTAATCTACCTAGTCGAAAAAGGAATCGCTCTATGTTTGTTTCCTTTAAACAATGTTATCCTACTATTAGTGAGTGGGTAGCACCATCGTTGGAGTTTGAGGGTCAATTCGAAAGAGGGAAATACGGTCACTAAAGCAATGTTAGGAGATCTTAGTGGTAACCCTAATGTCTTAGATCATTTATCCGAGGCAACAATATCCGAGTCAACCTTTTCGAGGCAACTATGATCTTTTAGACAAGAGGGAGACCTCTAAAACAACCTATACTCAATGACTGTTTACAAAGGCAACCAAGTGGGAGTGTACCCTAGGAGTTCGCATGTGCGAGTGTATTGAGCCGAGTTATTTTTATCTTTGCACATGTTTAGGGTGATCAAACTGTTTTAAAATTAAACATTCATTCTTGTCATGCAAACCCTATTATCAAACATCTAGCAGTTGAATATTTGCAGAAATTAAAGTGCAGAAATTAAACTAAATTATTACAAGGCGTCGGGTATTTACATCGCCAAAAGAAAACCCTTTGAAATTTAAAAACGGAAAAATAAATAAATGTCCTAATTAATTATTACAAACCGGGAGCAGATACAATAATTGAATAAAGAAAAAATAAGGTGCGCGAGACAATTGGATCGAATGCGAAACTAGCGTTTTGACCCTCCTAATTAAAAGAAAATATTTTTGTTGTTTTTATTTTTTAATAAAAGAAATTAATTCTTAAAATTAAATGCTAAATTAATTATTTATTAAATTAATAAATGAAAAATAATTAAGTGACATATTTTTGGAGTTTTGTTAATTTAGGGAAGAAAATAAAATAATTAAATTAATGTTAAAACCTAGTTATTCTAATTGATTTTTAATTATTTACAA